ATTAATTGGAAAGCAGAAAATTTGGGGGGGGGAGTAGAATTTTATACACAGTTTCTCATATAAGGGCCTCATATCCCAAATAAGTAGAGAACTGTGTCATATTTATAAGAATATGAATCATTACCCAATTGATAAATGGTCAAAGGATATGAACAGGCAGTTTTTTGTAATGAAGAAATCAAAACCATATATAGTTATATGAAAAATACTCTAAATCACTACTTATTAAAGAAATGCCCATTAAAATAACTTCTCTCACACCTATAAGACTGGTTAAAATAATAGCAGGGGAAAATGACAAATGTTGGAGGGGATGTGCAAAAACTGAGACACTAATGCACTGTTGGCGGAATCGTGAACTGATCCAACCATTTTGGAAAACAATCTGGAATTATACCCAAAGAGTTATAAAACTATGTATATCCTTTGATTCAGCAATACCTTGATTAGGTCTGTTTCCCACAGTGAGGAGAGAAAAAGGAAAGGAGCCCATATGTCCTAAAATATTTATAGCAGCTCTCTTTGTAGTAGCAAAGAATTGCAAATTGAGGGAATGCCCATCGATTGGGGAATGGCTAAATAAGTTGTGGTATATGATTGTGATGGACTGCTACTGGCCTATAAGAAATGATGAGCAGGTTGATTTTAGAAAAACATGAAAAGCCTTGAATGAAATATTGAAATATTGAAACAAGTAGAACCAAAAGAACACTGTATGTAGTAACAGCGTAATTGTTCAAAGAGTTACTATGAAGGACTAAGCTATTCTGAGTCATATGAATATTCGAATCAACTACAAAAGGAAGATGCTATCTACCGCCAGACAAAGAACTGATATATATGGAAGTATGTATTGTATAATTTTGTGCACATATGTGTGTGTGTCTGTGTCAAATGTTGGCCTTTTCTAGTGCAGTGTTGGTGTGGAGAAAGGAAGACAGCTCAGAACTCAAAATGTAACAAAAAAATTAAAAAGAAAACTTTTAAAAAAGAAATAAAATAATTAGAGGGATCTATGGCCTCCTCAATGTGGGAATTCCCTGCAGTAATACCTATCACAACTCTCCTTGCCTGCTCAAGCCGAGTAATTACAAGTTTTACAGACATATAACCATACTGAAAGAGTTGGTTTATCTGTTACCTTTTGTGATAAGAGCCATATCCTAACCTCTGCTCCCATGCAAGTTAGGCTTTCTTTCTTTAAAAGATATTGAGACCACCCTTGAATCTTGGGTGTTTTAGTATATTAAAACTTCAGGCTACTGACAACTTCTAGTTGTCTAAATTCAAAGCAGCCGCAAGGAGCTCTCTGATGCTTGCCTGGTCACTCAACTGAATCAACTCATGGTATCCTGAATGTCTATGTTGGTTGAATAACCTTGTGCTATGATTAGTAAATCTTCTTTTGTAACTAGTGAATGACCTATGAGTTTCACATTTTGTTCCAGTATTTAACCAGAACTCTAAAGGAGTGGCCTGAGTTAGATTCAGCCCAGAACATCTCTTGTTCTCCCCATATGACTAATGTTATCTTTTTTGCTCACAGACTTTTAGTGATGTTCTTCAAACTACTTTTTCACGATTCCTTATTTGTAATGTGTTGCAGCCTGCTCATTTGCACCATGTGCTTCTTCCATGCCCTTTGGGTGACCCTCAGTTTCAGTTCTTTGGAGTAGTGTTTCATGACTGGCAATCATGCAACAACACTGCAAGAATGTTGATATTACCAAGACAAGTCTTTGATTCAGGGAGAGGTTTGGGGTCATAAAAAGAACTTACAATTTCCCAAAGACAGTCCAGCCTGCTTTTCTCTTATGAATTTTGGACCCAATGATTGCCCATTTGCAAGATATAGAAACTGATGGACAAGCTAATAGGTTGTCTATTCAACTATATATCTTAGTTTGGGCAGTAATTACTCTTTATGCACTTGTTTTTTCTTTCACAAATGGACTAAATTATTTGGAGAAATTATGGATCTCATTTAGGAGGCTCCACAATGTTTTGAGAGTTGATGAAATTAAAGCAATATCATATATGCAATTTGGACCATCTGGAAGGCCTCGCCATCTACAAAGAATTTTTCTCTGGTTCAAACTCTGTGTTGGAGCTCCTCCATGACAGTGGAACACAGGGAATACATTTCCTTATCTTGTGCCTAAATATTATCTCTCTTGTTATTTTATCTTTTGTGAAATGTGTAATTTTAATACACCTTGTTAGAGAAGAAAATCTAAAGAGACATTTTGCTGAACTGAATCAAATTCTTTTAAAAATAACCAACAAATAGCAAGCATAATGGGAGCTTACATATTCTGTACCTTTCAGTCAGTTGTGTGACTATAAAGATGTGATCTACTCTTCCCTATTCAAGTCTTCATTGAGGATGCACTCAATGTGTATGTAAATTATTCCCATAAAGATTTTGTAGAGCTGGATAAGTAGGCATATGGGTCAATAGGTATTGATTTCTCAATTAACTTTTTAAAAAATAATAAAGCCTAACATATTTTCTAAGCATTTTATATCTTCTCCACTTTTATATATTATTACTAATATCATACATTATAATGAACATTAATATAATAAATATTTAAATATTGACATTCAATTCAAAACTTCAAAGATATGTTTTCCTCAGTGAGTGTATTCTATGCATACTTTAGTAGATATTCATCATAGTTACTTTGGTGAAAAAACAGTTTGCCAACTGGTCTCCATCTTTCTGGCCATAAGCCTTTATAGCTATAACTTGCCTGGAACTCATGTGACAGACTTGCCATCTGTCATTGGGCCTATATTCCAAGCCTTTTACTACTTTTTTTGATCCTCCAGCACCTGTGTTCCCTTAGAATAGTCTTCTAAAACTCAGGGTAACCTCTGTCTCAATTTGTTTTAATAAAGGTAGACTGGGGGACAGTACTTTGAGCAAGATCAGTTTATTAACAGTGGTGCACATATCTGTTAACAAAGAGGGTCAGGCTAGCAACCTCAGCAAAGCCAGGGATTCTCCAGAGAAGGAGGGGACCCTCTTTATTAACACACAACAAGGAAGTGGTCTTGGTAGGTGTGGAGAAAAGGTGATAGGTGGTAGGGCTGAGTCAGGAACATTAGAATTGGCAATGCTGAGAAAGATATGCTGGCATTCAGGTGAGGCTAATCATGCCCCTCTCTAACAATTAAGGGATGTTAATTGTTTTATGGGACCTATCTGTATCTTGTAGTCTTTGCTAGGGAATCCCAGCTAACAGATTTGCTGTCTCCTTGGAAGAGATAAAAAGTCCCTTTACACAAAGACAAGAAAGACAGACATAATTTTGTGGGGCTAGACAAACAGATATCCATGAAATATTTTAGGGGATAACAACCTTTCTTTTAAACTAACTTTAAGCTAACTCAAGAGGAAGACCTGGATTCCTGAGCTCAACTCAAGGACCTAGCCATGTGGCTTCAGCAATGATACAAAATGGGATGATAATACAGAATAGGATCAATTATAGAGTAGAATCAATTATAAGATGATACAGAATATATACCAAAATGAGGCATTGGAATAGGATTGCAGTTCATATTTATTAAGTAAGATTAATACTGGTTGAAACAATGCTTTAAAATGTCAAGACAAGACCATGTAGTGGCAAACAACAATTCAATCCAGCACATATTCATTAAGAACTACCTGGGCATGGAATTGTGCTCAGGGCTGGGGAAACAAAGGCAAAACTCTCTGCCTTCAAGGAACTTCCATTGTCCTGGGGCCAAACAACATGGGAACAGATAAGTCAATATAAAATATGTATAAAGTAATAAAAAGCAATTTCATTAGGAAGATAGCACTAACCATTGGAAGATGAGGAAAGGTCTCTTGTAGGAGGTGGCACCTGAACTGTGTTTTGGAGACAGGGATTCTATCTTGCAGAAGTGAGGAAGAAATGTATTCCTTTGTGCAAAGACAGAGAGATGGGCAGTGGAATTCCAGGTGTGAAAACTAGCTATGAGGTCAGACTTATTAGAATGGAAACTACTGGGAGGGGATTAAGACAAAGGAAGATGGGAAAGGTTGATAGGAGCCATATTGAAGTGTGCTTTTTAAATGTCAGGCATAGGATTTTGTATCTTACCCTAAAGAAACATGGAGTTGTTCAAGATCTTTCCTTAGGGGAGTAATACGTACTTCAGGAGAATCAATTTAGCAGCTGTTGTAGGATGTAGGAAAGAAGGAAAATAGGGAAACAGAGGAACTAACAGGAAATTCTCATAATAGTCTAAATGAGAGATGATGAGGATCCAGTCTAGCGTACAGGTTATGTAACTAGTGAGAAATGGATGGATGGAGATAAAACTGGCAGAACTTGGCAAGTGATGGAATTAGAGGAGTGAGGGAAATGGAAGAGTTAAAGATGAGTGTATGGGTGAGGACCTGGATGACTGGAAAGATGGCAGTGTCCTCTACCAAACAGGGCAGTTAGGGTGTGCTTTCATCCAAGCTTCTGATGAAGACGGCAAATTAACTATTTTTTTCTTTTCATATGTTGGATGTAAAGTATTTTTTAAAGTTAATTAAATTCCAAGTCCAGTAATAAAATATTCACTCGCACACTAATTTCAGTAAAATAAAAAATAACCTAACTTTGTACACCATAATGAAAAGTCAGTGCTTTTTATTCAATATTGAAATTCTACCAACTGCTTAGATTTATTTGTAAATTCTGTATCATATTGGCCTAATAACTTTCTAATATGGAACATTTAGTAAGGAAGAGATCAAGAATTTAAAACTGTTTATCTTTATTCTGTTATATATAAATTATTTCTTGACATTAAATTATTAGGCCCTTAGGGAGATACATTAATTCTCTCAGGGAGTGTGTTAAAGGAAACCTGACTCTCCTTAAAGAATTTGACAAGGAGTAAGTTATGCATGGAGCAAAAATGGAGTTTATCATATTGTAAATACTTCAAAAATAACTTATAAAACAGAAAACAGGAAAAAAACAAACCTTTTAAGGCAAATCTATAAATGGCTTCACATGCTTTAGCCAAAATCTCTTCTTCTGTAGAATTAAGCATTAACACCACTGTTGCTGCCTTTTTACTTTCAATTGTTAATGGATCAAACTGAAACAGAAAAATAGTAATATTTTACTAACAAATAAACTTTTAGAATGTATCATAGAAACAAAATTAAAGCTTTCCAAAAACATAGAACACATTATAAGCTTTTGAGTGAATTTTGTCTGTTTAAAAAAGAATTTTCTTGTTTTACATCACCATTATTTCCACATATTTGTGTGTGTGCATACATCTCCACCCTAGAATGAAATCCTCCCCATAACAGAGAAAAACAATTAAGCATAAGTAATGAACATACATCTGCATTTGATATGATGAAACATTCTGTCCCTTTGTTTCCCTGCCTCTCTGCCAAGAGGAGGGTGGTGTGTTTCATTTTTTGTTCTCTACACCAAGACTGGTCATTGCAGCTCCTCAGAATTCAGCGTTCTTTTCATGTACATTATCATAGCACTTCTGTATGTGATCCTTTTGGTTCTGTTCACTATACTGTGCAACAGAGCATGCAAAATCTCTCCCCATTCCTCTGATTTCCTCCCATTTGTCATTACTTCCTGCATAGTAATATTCCACTGCATTCATATACCCAGTTTGTGCAGCCATTCCCCAATCAATGGGCATCCACTTTCATAGAAATCACAGAATCTGAGAGTTCGAAGGGACCTCAGTGGACGTATAGTTCAGCCTATACACAAAAGCCACCTCTCCTACGATGTGCCCAACAAGTCATCATTTAGCCTCTACCTGAAGACCCCCAAAGGGAGGGTCCCCACCACCGCTGCCTCTGGAGTGCCCCAGCAGTCAGGAGCCCTCTGCAACTCACTTGCACTCACTGTTCCTGGCTCTTCCCCCCTCCAGGGGATGACCCTTTAAATACTTAAAAATAGTCATCATGCGTGTCTGTCCTCCTGCCTGTGTGTTTGGTAAATTAATAATAATTGCTGTTATGCAGTGTTTTAAAGTTTGCCTCACAAATATCATTCTCATTTTGTCCTCATAACAACCCTAGAATAGAGGTGCTATTATTATCTTCATTTTTGCTTATGACGAAAATGAAGTGGACGGAGGTTAAATGACTTGCTCAGAGTTACACAGTTAATACATATCTGAGGCAAGATTTGAACTCATGTCTTTCCTGACTCCACAACCCACACTCTGCTGTGTAGTATGCAACATCACAATATGCTATTAGACACCATGGGTATCTACACATGATCCAAGTAACCAGATATATAATGATATTATTACATATATACTTTAGGCATAATTTGACAGATGTTATACAATATGTGCCCATGGACTGTACCTATCCAGTCAGTGTGGTTTTCAAGAATAGCAAATTCTTGAATTGGGAGGAGGGGAAAGGGAAGAGGGTGGAGAAGGTTACAGGCCTGAATAGTGACTTTTAATCTTTTCTCTTTCTCTATTCTTGGGGTTACAGAAGGAATACAGTGGAGAAGAGTAAAATGTGTATTTTCTAGAGTGCTGTGAACCAGAGGTGCAGGGGGAGAATGCACAAAGCATTAGCATTGATTAGAAGAGACCAGAGAGCTGGGAGGAGAAGGTGAGCCACTGTGTGCAGCTGGGATGGCAGGGCCTAGCAGCAATGCCAAATGGTGGCAGCAGCTGAAGCACTGGCAGTCAATCAATTCCTAAGGGTTTCTGCCTGAGCTGAGGCACAATATTTGGGGGTCAGGACAACCTGACCAGGCTAAGCAATTGAGTAAGGGTGGCAGTAACGTTCTAAGAAGCCAAAGGCAGGGAAGACCAGGACTGAGAGGGGATGCTAAAGAAGTCTTCCCTGAAGAAGTTCTAATTCTTCATCTGTGTTTCAGGAATTTCCTTATTGATGCTGTGAGTTTGTTCTGTTGTTACTATTGGACTTGGACTTGAGTCCCATTTATAGCCTTATTTATATCACAATAAATGTTTGTGCTCCAAATGCTAATTGGATACTTTGGCTGCCAGCAGATGAGCTCCCTCAAATATGTGAGAAGTAAGCCAGTTCAGATATTCCCAGGGAGGAAACTTCCTGGGTTTCCATAAGCCCTGTATATAATGCATGTCCAAGACTGAATCCAATCCATCTGTCCTCATTTGGTGCATAGGATAATTACAAAAGTACTGGCTGATAGAATCCTAGACAATAAAGATTTCACCAAATTTTTTTTGTTGTTTTTTTTCAGTTGTTCAGTCATGTCTGACTCTGTGACTCTGTGAATCATACTGTGCATGGGGTTTTCTTGGCAAAGATACTAGAGTAGTTTGCTATTTCCTTCATAGAAGATTAAAGTAGAGGTTAAGCAATTTACCAAGAGTCACACAGCTAGTAAAATCTGAGGCTGAATCTGAACTCAGGTCTTCCTGACTCCAGGCACAGTACTCTATCCACTGAGCCACCTAGCTGCCTTTCACCATATTAGGTTTGTTTAAAGTAGGATACAGATGAGCAAAATAACTAATTTTTTCAGTGATTTATACTTAGGCTACATATTTATTCAAAAGAATAATTTTAATGCTTGGGAAAAGAGAGGCATGAGACCATAGGGTCTCATTTTATTTAAAAAATAAGCGAGAAAAGTAAGGAAGGATGTGAGAATTGTGGTAGAAAAAACTGCTAAAGGTAGAGAAATATTGCACTTTGCTAGGGTCAGCATGAAGCTGTGGGCAGAGGAAGTCAGCATGAAGTCTGTTACTCCTACAGAGTCTATCATATTATAGTAATTTTTATTTTAAGGAAATTGAAAATAAAATGATAGATATAACAGAATGACACATTACTAAACAAATAATATAGTGCTGTAATTACTGATTCCATCTGCTTTCACATGAGGAAGCCATAGTCATCAAAAAGCATGTGGTGAGATTATAATTTCACACTATGTACAAAATAAATGATGAACTAAAATTACTAACAGGGCTCAAAAAAAAGGAGGTTCTAGCTAAGCTGAGAATTCTTTAAAACTCTGGTAATTAAACAAGCTACCAATTTACAAATTTAAAATATAGGCATATGTATATAATTTAAATTTTTGTTGATACTCAAACATACTCCTTTCCTCTTCCCTCTATGGAGAGCCATCTCTTGTAATCAAGAATAAACCAAAACAAACCAATTTATGTTTTAAATGTAAATATTCTATTATCATTGGAAATAAAATTTCCACATAGGACACAGATTTTAAAGTTAGCTTAGGAAAAGCTGATAAGTTCTGTAGTATTTACCACATCAATAGGTACAAATAATAGCTTTTGTTGACTTGAGGTTCTAATTATTCCAAAAAGTGAGAGGCAGTTTGATACAAGAGAAAACTAGATTATAACCTTATCTAATATGAACTTTTGGTGGAGTATATCTAGAGACCAGTAGGAATCTATCGTAAAATTGAATTGATTAGTTCAGGTAAAGTCTAAATAATGTCTAAAATTACTTTTGACTAATGTCTAATTCCACCAGTGCCTTCTCACTCTGTGACTTGTTCATGTTCTCCCACAAATCCACCAGAGCAGACCTACCCAAAGAGTTGGCCTTGTTCTAAGGCAGTTAGTAGCATAGAGTTCATCAAGGTGTCAAGACAGGGCAATTAAGAAGAGTGTAACTAGAGTGGCAGTTTGTGTACCAGGATAATACTTAGGGAACTGGCAATGGATGAATAGGTTTAGAAGGCAAGATAAAAGATTATGATCAAACAGCATTTCTTGAATATGGAAGTAGAACATTTGTGAGTGATGATAAGATCAAGGATTACTTCTGTGTGTAGCTCTCACTTCTTTCCCTAATTTTCCCTCTACCATTCTTATTTGATTTAAAAAAAAATTCAGTTTTTCCAGTTCTTTTTTTTTCAGACAATTGGGGTTAAGAGACTTGCCCAGGGTCACACAGCTATAAGTGTCAAGTGTTTGGTCTGAGGCTGGATTTGAACTCAGGACCTCCTGACCTCAAGGTCGGTGCTCTCTCCAATGTGCAACCTAGCTGCCCCTCTTCCAGGAGTTCTTGCTGGGCTTGTATCCAATTCATTTTTTTTCTCTGAGGCTTTGCTTGTAGTTGTTTTGATATCATTGTCCTCTTCTGAGTTTGTGTCTTGACATTCCTCGTCACTTTGGTAACGTTGTATGGTCAGGTTCTTTTTTATTGTTTGCCCGTTTTCCCAGCCTATTTCTTGACTTACAACTTTACGTTAAAACTGGGTTCTGTTCCCAGGGTGCAGGAGAGGCACTGTTGCAAGGCTCCAGGCACTGCTCTTTTCAGACTAGTTCTGGGGGTTTGAAGTTTGCAGTGCTTCCAAGGTGATGTGACCTGGGGAGAGGTGCAGTCGCTGCTCTCCTGGTCTGCGCTCTGATCCTTACCCAGGGAGTGCCCCTGATCTCCTGCAGCTGCAAGTGATGCTGCTCCTCAGGGCTCCCCATCTTGTGACTGCAAAGGACACTGTCCCTTAGGGCTCCTGCTCCTTTGTGACTCTAAGTACCTGTCTCTGCCCTGGAACTGTGACTCAGAAGTGGCTATAGCAATGGAGTGACCTAGGAGCCCCCTTTAGTCTCTTTCTGACCAGTTTCCAGATCCCCATATTCTCTCTGGCTTGAGAGATCATAAAGCTGCTTCTGCTACTATTGCTACGTGCACAGCCCACAGCTGGGGTTGCTGCTGTGCTGCTCCAGGCAATCCCCCACCCCCGTATCACAGTCCTCTCTTTCCAACCTCCAAAGCTGTTTTGGGCTGGAAAAAATGTCTCACCCTCACCTTCTGTGGGCTCAACCGCTCCTAAACTCGATTTTAGACATTATTTTTAAATAAGGCATTTCAAGGGCAATGTGGGGAGAGCTTCTACTCCACTGCCTTGACTCTACCCTCCTCTTCAAGGTTTCTGAGGTTTTTTTTTTTTATTCTTCCAGCTAAAACCTGTGCATGGAATGAGAAATACTTCAGCTGCCATAAGGAAGCCTATATGGAACTATTATTTTTACCCATGATACATGCACAGCAAAAAGGAGTAGAAACAGTCAGCTACAGTTCTGGGGTGAATTTTATGTACTTTTGGGAGCAGACTCTGTAGGCTCACTGTGATGTTATTAATAAAACATTAGGCGGAGGGGAGAAACTTGAATTTTATCTGTTAGCATTATTGTGAGGGGCCACTGAGTGATGGTGGGTATAGCTCTTAGCAAGGAGTCAAGAAGACCTGAGTTCAGATCCTGATACCTTTACTATGTGACCGTTTTTATTGTTCAGTCATTTTTCAGCTGTCCAACTCTTTGTGACCCCTTTTGGGGTTTTCTTGGCAGAGTTACGAATGTTTTGCCATTTCCTTCTCCAGCTCACTTTACAGACGAAAAAACTGAGGCAAATAGGGTTAAGTGGCTTGCCCAGGGTCACACAGCAGTAAGTGTCTAAGGCTAGGTTTGAACTCAGGAAGATGAGTCTTGGCACTCTATCCACTGTGCCATCTAGCTGCCCCCAAGCAAGTCATTTAACCCTTGTCTGCCTCAACTACAAAATAGGGATAGCAATAGTATCAGTAACAGGGTTGTGGTTGAGGATTAAATGAGATTACATTTGTAAAGTGATAAACATAACGCCTTGTATATAGCAGGCACCATTCCATTCTCTTCTCTAGTCAAAGAGGGGCATAATACTTCTGGTTCTGTGTTAAGGATATAAGTTCTATGTTCATGGCATGACTAGTACCAGGGTAGACAGAGGTCCTCGTTTAAATGGGAGGGACTGAATGCTAGAATGCTTCTATGACCAAGGTATCATATGAAGAATATTTTTAAACAGACCTCCTACTTTTACAAGGGAATATCACAATCCTCAGGACAATGGATCACTTCCCAAGAATGTGAATACTAAGCTCACATTTATATAGCACTTTCCCCACATAAGTCCTGTGAGGTAGGTACAGAAAAATAATTATCCTCATTTTAGAGATGAGGAAACTGAGGCACACAGAGTGTTCTTTTAATGACTTGGCCGAAATTCATAGCTAGGAAGTGTCAGGGGCTGGGAAGAGAACCCAGGACTCCTGACTCCAAGTCCAGAGCTCTCTCTACTATGTCATGCTACATATCCTGTGACATTTTATTCAAGGTCCCAAGTGACCAGCTGATCGATAGACACCGATCTTTTCAGGTAGTCTGTGAATTCTCCCCATGTGCATACCTGGTAGCCATGCCAAAGACAGCCTCGATGATCTAGGAATATCTACTACCCATAGAAGGGAATCCAAGACACTCCACCAATCTTAAGGTTTAAGGCTGCCACAGTTACAGGGAAGGCAAGAGAGGACCCATGAAGAACAAAGTCTCCGTTATTGGAACCAAGGGATAAGGTTACATAACACTTATCTTCTTGTAGGCAGGCCTTTCGGAGTTTTAAATGATAGTTACATTGACTCATTCACTCTTTTCCAGTGACTAAACCATATGCATTAGTGCTACCACAAACGTGGAAGATTTGTCTACTTTTCCATGCCTCAGACCTCTTAACTGGCATGTTGCTCAGAATCCTCCTTGGCAATCATGGGAACAATTTGCTTCTGTGCAGGTGGGATCTAGAGAAGGACCTGAAATGGGTTCAATTTTAAATAACTGATAGAAATGGGTGTGGTTCTATTATCTGGCCAATTGTAAAGATTATGGCCTAAAGAACTACACTAGGGAGTTAATAAAGGAGATGCCCATGTCCCCTCCAGGGGCCCTGGAGAGGAGGGAGAGGGAGGAAGGGAGGAATATACTGTTATCACAATAACGGGGGGAAACAGTGGAACCAGAGGTAAGCGATCTGTGCAGCTAGTTAGTGCAGTGCTGCTGTGCGGCGGTATCACTTACCACTATGTAAGGAGGTCTAAGGGGTTTCACTGAGTTCAGTGAATTATTTAGTTGTCTATAGACAAACTTTAAGGCAAACGTTTATCTTATTCAGGTACTGGTTTAACTATTTGGCTTCTGAGGTTTCTTCCAACTCTGAAATTCTACAATTCTGTGAAAATACATATCAATGCAAGGTAGTCACCACCTCTAGGACTTTGCCATTGTGGTTCAGTCATTCAGTCTTCATGACCCATGGACCACAGCACACCCACGCTGTTCATGGAGTTTTCTTGGCAAAAATGCTGGAGTGGCTTGCCCTTTCCTTCTCCAGTAAAGGACACCAGAAGAGTATATAGGATTTTAGAAAGAGTATATACTGTCTTAGCCTCCTGGAGAACTTCTCTTATGTGGGAATTGTTCTGGTCAGCAAGAAGATAGCTAGAGGGACAAGTATTTATGCCTCTTTCTTTCTACCCCAGATATTCTGTGTGCTGCAGACATACCTGGTATATTTCTAGGTAGTTTACCAGTAATACTAACTCTATAATAATAATTCTACTAAGAGGTAGTGCAGGCTGCTTTCTGGTATGGTTACTGTTCTGAGACATTGCCTCATCATAATATGGGGAAGTGTAAACATTCTAGATGTATTATTTTACCCCAGTCACAAAAATTGCTCATTATGTCACTGCACACCGTATTCTAAGAAGTCTAATTATAAAGGGTTATGATATGGGTGGGTCAAAGATCTTGGTTCCAAACACAGTCCCAAGTCTCTATTCTCAGACTGAACATGTTCTTCCTAAAGAATTCTGATTAAAAAATAGGCTACCCCTCTTCCAGGAAACTATTCAGTATGAGCGAATGGTATGGTATGGCCTCAAACAAAGCTAATGTGGTTTTAGCTTGTATTAATGGAAATATAATATCCAGGCAAAGATACATAGTCCCCTTTTATTCTGCACTGGTCAGGCCACATCCAGAGTACAGTGTTTTGCTCTAGGCCCATGGCTGGGGAAGCTGCAGCTGCCCTATGAGAGTGAGGACTCAGCAAATCATCTAATATAAGGAATGGTTGAAGGAACTGGAGTTATCAAGCCTGAAAAAGAGATGCCTTAAAGGGGTACATGATAACCATTTTAAAATATTTATGAATATCTTTTACATTGCTTACATTTTCTAAAATTTCTCTGCCCTCTCTTACCCAGAAAACTTTCCTTTATTACAAACAAAAATTAAGACAACCAGTTTAGCCAAACTAGCCAATATACCAATAAAGTCTGACAGCACCTGCTGTATTCCACTTCCATAGTGCCCCATGTCTCCAAAGTCTTCTTCTGGGACAGGCTGAGTCACAATAATTGAACTCAACGATGTTCAGTTTCAGTATCTGGTGTCTTTCCATTGACCTTGTTGTAGTCATCGTATGTATTGTTTCTTCATCTTTCTTCCTTTGTTTTATACCAGTTCATACACGTCTTATCAAATTCTTCAAATTCACCATTTCCAATAGCACAGCTGTATTCCATGTATGTGTAATGATTTGTTTAGGCATTCTCTGACAGATGGCTGTCTGTTTTGTTTCTAAATCTTTGCTACTATAAATAGTACTGCTATACACAGTTTGGTGTAGACGGGACCTTTCGTCTGACAGCTGGGGCATCGCTGGGTCAAAGGATAATCGATATTTTTGCCACTTTCTTACCATATTTCCAGATTCCTTTCCATAATGTTTGGATCAATTTATAGTTCCACAAACAGCAGATTAGTGTGCCTGTCTTCCTGCAAACTCACCAACAATCATTATTTCCATCTTTTGTCATCTTTGCCAATTTGATGAATCTGAGATGAAACTTTAGAGGTTGTTCTGATGTGCATCATCTAAGGGCTCTTTCAACTCTAAGACCATATTAAATGTATAATCCTATCTCTTCACTTTTTTTTGTTTGCTTTTTGGTGAGGCAATTGGGGTTAAGTGGCTTGCCCAGGGTCATGCAGCTAGTAAGTGTCAAGTGTCTGAGGCCGGATTTGAACTCAGGTCTCCCTGACTCCAAGGTCGGAGCTCTATCCACTGCGTCACCTAGCTGCCCCCTCTTCATTTTTTTTTAAAAGAGAAAAACCACATCTATGACTGTTTTACAAAAAGTTTTATTTTATGCTTTATTCATATTTGCCTCTACACAAGCCTGAAGTTGGATACATGAATGGCCTAAGGGATTCCCTCTAGCTTGAACAAACAGAATCTCAGTTGTTTGTAGACTTTAAAAAGATAACTTTTTTTCAAAAGAAAGAGACATCAATAGATATATAGGTCTTGCATGTTGTAGTAGTGGTAAAGCATTGATATCCTTCATAATTCTGGGTAAATAATGTAATATTTCTGATATCCAAAGATCTGAGCTAATTTTTAGACAGCTTTCTTCACATAAAATAGTTTAAATTCTGATTCTTGTGAATATTAATGAACATCAAACAGTAAATTTTGGCTAAATATTTCAAAGAACTAAAAAGGCTTACTCATTAATTTAATATATCACTCACATACTTGAAAAGAAAATAATAGTGGGTCTCTAATCTTGTAATTAAGTCATCACAATGTTTCAAATTTATATTCCAAAATAGGATGCTATATTAGAACTGGTTATGGACTTATATAATCATATATCTCCATGTATATAAATACTATAGTTTATACTGTCTCCAAGGTCCATTTTTCAGGTACAGTTGTCAAAAATCAATAGTCAAAGTGCTATCCAATGAAGAATTTTCTTATAGTATATTGCAAACCAGAAAACTTACCACATCCTTAGGAGGAGGTTCTGCTTCCTTCTTTACTTTTTTACCCATTCTAAAAGGACAGACAAAAAAATAATCACTCAGTTTTCTCTCTACCATTTCCTATTAGTATTTGACATTTTGTATTTGATGGGTTTATTGAGAATGATGTTGAAAAGCCCTGACTTTGTATGTGCAATGTAGGCAACGACGGTGCTAAAAACCAATGATGGACTCGATAAGGAGTGACAGAATAGCCAGAGTAATCAAGTCTTTGATGGTAAATCCAGCATATCCACATACTCTCTCTGTCTCTCTGCTTCTTTCTCTGTCTCTTTTTCCTCTTTCCTCTCTCTTTCATCATATGGGTTGATCAAAATTAATTTTGTGGGAATGACCCTTTCATGGAATAGCTACAGAAGTTAATTCTGTGAACTTGTGCAACCATACCCCCCCCCTTTTTTGGTAATTAATCTGCTCTGCATAGTCATTTACAGTGCTGAAAATTGAAACAGGTGTTTTGGTTTTTGTTTTTTAAATGAAATCTATGTGTCAAGAAGCTGTAATTTTAGTGGTGTGGTACTCCTTCAATCAGCAGAGATCACAAACTTTCTATAGCTTAGTAAAAAAAAAATTAAGAGTTGTCATGGCTTAAAAATTCATCACCTCATAAATCTAATAGGTCCTATTATCAAGTGGGAAAGATTTTGAGTATAGGCTGTATATCTTTTCATCTGAGGACCATCCTCAGCTCAGCAAAGGGTAGAGGATAAGGTGGACTTAATGTTAAGAGACTTGGGTTCCAATTCTGCTTCACATATTAACCAGGTGTGTCATCATGGACAAATCATTTAAGAAGGGCTTTAGGTCCTCAAGTATAAAAAAAGATAACAGCATTTGTACTGCGCTGTTATCATAGGGTGGTTATGTTACAACACCATATAAACAGCAATTATATTATTATTGTTATACTACTGATAATCAGAGCAGAATTATTATTATATTATATTATACATAATATAGTGTAATAGTATAATATAGTATGATGGTATTATAATAGTATAATTATAGTAGTATACTATCGATGATCAGAGCAGAATTTTATTCAATCAGTCAGTAGTTAACATTTATTATGCACCTACTATATGGTATGTGTTTAGGATATAGATACAAAAAAAAATCAAATAATCTCTACTGGCAAGGAACTTGCATTCTAATGAGGAAAGCAAGAAATATATCTATAAATAAACACATAAAGAGAATAAATACAAAGTAGTTTTTAAAAAGCTAGATTGAGAGGGAAGGTAACAGGAGTTGGGGGATCAGGAAAGGCTTCATGTAGAACATGAAGAGAGGGATTCTACGAAGGGGTGATGAAGAGAGCGTATATTCCATTCATGACTGTGGTAGATGGAAGATCATGAGTTAGAGAGAAAGGCTCAATCTGGCTGGATTCCAGAGTGAAGGAGAAGAAGCAACAGAGAATAAAATTAGAAGAGAGGTCAAGGCAAGAATGTAAAGTACTTTAAAAACTGAAGAAAGGAGTCTACATTTTGTCCTAGAGGCAATAGGGGGCACCAGAATTGATTAAGTAGGAAAGTGAGAGGGTCAGACCTGCATTTAAGAAAAATTCCTTTGGCCACAGTGCTTAGGATGGACTAGAGTAGGGAGAGACTTCAGGCAGGGAGACCAGTTAAGAGGCTGTTGGGATAATCAAGAGAAGAGGTGAGGAAGGCCTGGACTAAGCTAGTAGCTGTGTGTCAGATATAAATAGTCAGTCAACTAGAATTTAGGTGCCTACTATGTGTCAGGCACTGGGCACTACACTGTGTGCTCCTTGGGGCAAAACTTTAACGAGTCATCTAGGCCATACCAATACCTTTAGGAAAAGCCATACCTGTATCATTTAAAAAATTTATTTTTTTTTGTGGACTTAACCAATCAAACAATCGTTTTTCAATATAAAAGAACAAGAAATAGGAGTACATAGGATATAGTGACCTGTTTCATTTGGCTGTTTTGTTATAAAATGTGTGTGTATACGTGTGTGTGTGTGTGTGTGTGTGTGTGTGTGTGTGTATATAAACATATATGTATATATACATATACATACATATATATATACATGTATATAATTTAATAAGGTCATAAAAATTGTTCTGTCTTTTATAAACTGAGTGATCCTAATACATTATTCCTTATGAACAACTAACACTTACATCTACAAATAGTTGTGCTATCTGGCTTCCAATGGTTTCTTTGTATTTCCATCACCTAGCACAGTTACTGGCACATAGTAGGTTCTTAATCAATGCTTGTTGACTTATTGGGGGCCAGTGAGGCAAAGCATTTCTACCCTGCAAAAGCTTGAGGCTCCCTCCAACTCCCTGCCCTTGTGAGGCCCTTGGGGCACCCCCCTGGCATTCGGCTCAGAAGGCCAGTCTGACAATAGTAAATAAAACCCCTGCCTTCACCAAATCCCTGTGCCGATGTTGCCCCCAGGGCCTCTGATCAGGGTTTGCCCAACAGCTCCCTATGGATGTGGCCTGGGCTCAGAGTCAGGGGTTACAGGCCCTCTCCCTCTCCTAGTCCCTGTTCTGGTCCTAAAGGAAAAGTGGACATTCTGGAAAGAACATTGGATTTGGAGTCAGAGAACTGAGTGATGTGGACTTATATCTCTGGGGTCTTCTAATGCTAAGCCTTAGCACCTGTTAGTAGTTTGTAGTAGTAAGTAAAGAGGGAAGATACACAGACTGGAGCAACAACTCTGAGAGTACTACAGTAATATTCTGGTTTGGACACGAATTGGGACCCATGATTTCACTGTTATAGAGAAATTTTGAAGAAATGCCCTCTACCAATCAATGAATCAAGTATTAAGAGCCTACTATGTGTCAGGCGCTATTTTGAGCACTGGGGATACAAGAATAAAGAATGAAATACTCCCTACATATTTAACCTTTTAATGAAGGAGTCAAGTACGTATAAAATATGCACAGCATAAATATAAGGTGAATAAATACAAATATATGTATACACACACATGTATATACATATTTAGTAGTTAAATACATTAGATGGGGAAAGGAGAATACAAGGAGTTGGGGAGGATTGGAATGGCTCCATGCAGAAGTTTATGCTTGAGGTGTATCAGGAAGAAAAGGGTTCTCTGATAAAGAGTAAGGAGGGAGCAAATTCCAGGCAAAAGGAAGAGCCAGCACAAAGCCATGGAGGCAGAAAATGGAATGTTATATGTAAGGATTAGACAAAATGCCAGTTTTGTCTGGATTTACAGGGTGTGGGAGAGGGAATAATATCTAATAAGTCCGTTAAGATAGGTTGGGCCAGCTTGTGTAGGGCTTCAAAAGCTAAACAAAGGAATAATTTACATTTGATTCTTGAGAAAATAGGAAAACACTGAAGTTGACTGAGTACGGGAGTCACACAGTCAGATTTGCACTCTGGGAAAAATTACTTTGGCAGCAGTATGTAAGATGCACGAGAGTGGTGAGAGACGAGGCACAGAAGATATTGCAGCAATCTAGGAGAGAGATCTTCAGGGCTAGAATTAAGGGGGTAGGTGGCTGTGTCCTAAGCGGATAAAAGGGGGTCAGAGGCAAGAGATATTATGTTGGCAGAAACAGCATGTGGTTGGCTTTGTGGAGTGAGGGAGAATGAGAGTCCAGGATAATTCTGAGGTAGTGAACCTGGGAAACTGGAGGGACAGTAGTGCCTTCAACAGAAATAAAGAAGTTTAGAAAAGAGGTGCTGACTTTGAGACATCTCTGGGATACCCCGTTTGAAATAGGCTTATTAGACCAATGGGAGAAAGACACAGAGAGACTGAAACAAAGACACAGAGACAAAGAGACGTAGAAACAGAAAAAGAAAATAAAGATAAGAAAGAAGAAATGTAGAAGAGAAAAAATCGAGAGGGAGAAGAAAACAAATTTAGGGTAGAACCTTAACACCCATGGGGAAACATAACATGGTTAGGGTACAGGTTAGCATTTTTTCAGTAAGTTATAGTCTTAAAGAGTGGCCTCCTAGAGTACCTGACTTGCCAGGGTCACATAATTAATATGTGTCAGGGGGACTTGAACCCAGATCTTCCTGGTTCTGAAGTTGGCTTTCTAGTCTTTACTCCATGATGCCTCTTTTCTGATTTGGAAATAAGTAAAACTGTGTTGAAAGCAATTTCTATTTGAGGCTCCTAGCTTCCTTTTCTGGTCATGCTTTCTTCTCCCTTCCCTTCTTTACTCTTTTTTTTAATGCCTTCTTAAAACCAGGAGGAATTTGATTAATTCATCACTGCATTTTCTTTTAAAGGGGTGGGAGAGGGATCAGTTTTAGACTTGTAATGGAGTCATAAGTATGAACTCCTGATGTGTATCTGGCAGACTTCCCACACTGTACCTTATAGTCTTGGAGAGTTGCCTGGGGGCATTGAGATATTTAAGGGATTTGCCTATAGTTAGTATATTAAACCAGGTCTTCCTGATTCCAAGGCTGGCCAGTACAGGGCAGGAAGAAGGAAGAGAAAGAAGAAGGAGGTAGAAGAAAAGGAAGGAGAGGAGAAGGGAGAAAGACAGTACAAGAAAAGAGAAGAGTAAGAGGGGGAGAGAAAAAGGAAAAGAGTAAAGAAGAGGTGATAGGAAAACAGGAGGCAGGAGGAAATAGGGTGAAAGAATTTGAGTTGGAGGAGAAGCAAGAGGGAAGATGAAATAGGAGGAGAAAGAGGGAAGGAGAAGTGAAGGAAGAAACAATGAAAAGGGAGGGAAGAGGAGAAGGAAAGAAAGAAATAAAAGGAGAAGGGAAAAGAGGCAGAAAGTGGTGGTGAGAGGAGACGGGGCATTGGAAAAGAAAGGGAGGAGAAAGAGGAGAGAGGGGAAAAGAAGAGGCGTTGGAAAAGGAAGGAAGGGAGAAGGAGAAAAGAGGAGGACAAGTTAGAGGGAGGAAGAGGGAAGGGGAAAGAAGAAAAAGAAGAGGCGTTGGAAAAGGAAGGGGAGGAGGAAAACGGTGATGAAGCGAGCTGAGAGAAAAGGAAAACGCAAAAACCAACCACCCTGCCCCAGCCAAGCCAGGCTTTTTTTGATGCTCAGCACAGGGTGTGTGGGGTGGGGTCGGCTGAGAACACTTCGTCTGGTCCGGAACGTTTCCTTGGAGCCGGCCTCACTGGCCCGGGCCTCCTGGACTCTACCTGCCCCCTGGCCCTCTAGGCTTCCTCCAAACTGTCCCTTCCATACCAGCCTTGGCCTTACCTGCCTTGCGAACCGTGAACAACAGCGCCCGCCCGCTCCCTCCCTCGCTCCTCTGGGCTTGGGCTTCGGGTTGTTTTCAGTTGCTAGGAGACCGGGGCGAGGGGAGGAGAGAGAAAGAACACGCTGAGGCGCATGCGTCTGCACGCGGAGGCCTAGGCCCCCGCCCCCCCGCCCCGCCCTGCTTGAAGAGAGCGTCGCATCCCTGGGCATCCTAGGGCATCGCATGCCTTGGGGCTTGGACTAAGCTCCCGGCTTGGCGGCGGAAACCAGTCCCAGCTTTTCTTCTTTCCTTTTTTAAGAACTAAATAATCTCTTCCCTGCTTTTAGTAAGAATGATAGGTTCAGATGTTTGTCCCTTTAGCTTCGCATTTTAACAACCGGCTGCATGGGTTTTTTAAACCCGACGGCCCCACGGCCGCTTCCGGCTTCCCCTGCGCTTTAGAAAACGCTTTGTGTCCCCTGGTAGCGCTTGACAGTTGGCAGGGCTCTGTCCCCTCCCGTATCCCAATTTCTCCTAACAGTCATCCCCATCCTACCTCGGTAGACAAACTGAAACCCTCGGAAAATTAGTGGTTAATTTGTGATAAGTAATTTACCTCCCTGTGATTATTCTTTGTACAATTTTGCAATAATAGATGTTCTGTTTATGACCTCCTCACTGATGCTCAACAGCCCTTTTATTCCTCTCTTGTTTACTCGCCTTTGTGTTCTCCAAAGAAGCCACCAACATGCTGTGTCCCCTGTCCTTAAAAACAAAACAAATATCCCCAAAACTCAGTGCAGCGCACTGTCTTGCTGCTCTTCCCTTCAAAGCTAAACTGCTAGAAAGAGCAGTTTATACTCTGCCAAACGCAGGCAGAACAAAGGGAAAGCAGCCGGATTCAACTGAGTGTACACAGAACAAATCCACGGTTATGAGAGTGTTGAGGGGAGGAGATTCACAAGGCATCCGAAAGAGAATATTCAGAAATTCTGCGGGGAAATCTCAGATTTTTTTAATTCCGAAAAAAAAAAAGACGATTCAGAAAATCAGAAACTACCAACCTACATAGACACCCACTTTCCGACCCTTAGTCTTTTTCAGTCATGAGCCCTTTTGGGGTTTTCTTAACAAAGATACTGGAGTGGTTTGTCATTTCCTTTTCTAACTAATGTTTTTACAGATGAGAAAACTGAAGCAAACAGGATTAAGTTGACTAGCCCAGGGTTAGATTTGCATTAAGATCTTTCTGACTCTAGGTCTCATACTCTATCCACTGCACCAACTCTATGCTACAGGGACAAAAAGGGTATTAATAGAGGCGGATTTTCACAAGTGATTCTATGCAATAAGTCACATCGTACAACAGACTGAGAAATATAGAATATATAAGATCCTACCATGCTTATTGCTTGTTTTTTTAATGATAGGATTCAATAAACAAATTGTCTCCAGAATGCATCAGAATTGTTAGGAATTCCTTGAAAGACAACCATTTTTAATAAAATAGTGAGACATGCTCACCAAAGGTATTTCACACGATCATGAAGGAGATTCAGAGCAGTGTCCAAATTGAAGATGGATTCCTTAGAGATGGTGATGTTTCTGCTTGCCCTTGACATTGTACTGGTTCCATAAAACTTAAGGACGCTACAAAATCTCTAAGATGAGATCTGTTTGGTCTAATAATCCGCACAGGGAAAAACAGGTAGATGAAGAAGGCCTAGCACTCACATTATGATATGCAGGTAATTAGAAAACCTGTAGCTCTTGTCCAACAGTGTATGTGTGCGTGGATCTAGGACAGACAGTACAAGTTGACAACAAATCAGATCCAGGATTAAAAAAGAGGCGATTAGGCTGGAAAATGCAAGTCTTCCTTAATGACCACAAACTTCTCCTAGAAACAAAGAGCCAATTTTTAATACAAATGTTTCGCTATTATTGTGTGTCCATGAATTATGGGAGGCAGCATTGTACAATAGAAAGAGCAGGACTTTGGAGTTGGAGAACTTGAATTCAAATCCCATCCCTTAATCTCCACCTCAGTTTCCCCTTCTATAAATGAGGGGGTAGGGGTGGCTTCCAAGGCACCTTACAGTTCTCTATGATCCCATAACAATATTACAGTCTCTAAAGAATGAAAAAGGACCATCACTCATGTAGGTGGGAATAACTTCACACCGGTAAGTTAGAGAATAGGTAGAGGCAGTTTCCTCAAGTTCCTTACATCAATGAAACAACAGGGCTGGAAAAAGAGAGAGAGAGACAGAGAGAGACAGAGAGAGACAGAGAGAGACAGAGAGACAGAGAGAGAGAATGTTTACAACTTTAGTATTACTGAGACTTTTCCTACTTCCAAACACTTAATTCACAATAAAACAGAACTTTCTGCATTGGAAAGAATGCAGAACTTTCCATCGGGGTATCTGTGTTTGAATCCTGACTCTGACTCATACTATCTGTGTGAATTTAGGCGAGTTACTCCAACTCTCTGGGTCTTACCTGCTTCATCTGTAAAGTGAGGGAATCTAGACCATGATTCCTAACCCAGGATCCATTAACTTTTCTAATGTTTTTGTAACTATTTTAATATAATTAGGTTCCTTCATGATCCTGTCTGTATATTAGAACATTCTCCTGATAAGGAGTCCTTAGCCTTCACTAAGCTGCTACAAAAGGGGGGACCACAATATTAAAAAAGGTTAAGAACTCATGGCTCAGACAAACTCTAAGATTCCTTACAAATCTAAACCAATGACTCTATAAAGTTTAATTAAAATAAGGTGAAATAAATAGAAATCATAGAATGAACATTCATTAGCCACAAAGGTTTTTGTAAATCCCACATTATACATCACCTAATTTATACAGTTAGGTCTAAATTAGAGCAAATAATGAATTCCCCTGAAGTGGTTGCATTATTTGAATTCATACTACATATTTCTATTCAGTTAGAACCAGTTAACATATTTTACATAATTATGATTTGAGCAGTGCAAATTCAAATACATATGTCCACCTCAGTCCACCACTTTCTTAGGCCAGGTTGATGAATCTCTCTAATCTTCTTCTAATCTTTCTAATGAATCTTTCTAATCTAGTCTTCTAATCTTTCAATGCCAACTCTTTGGTGTCAAATGAGTACAGAAGTCCGATTCATTTTTTTTTCTTTACCCATCAAGGATTATAATTGAGACACCTAAGTGGAGCAGTTAATAGAGCATTTGGCCTGCTGTCAGGAAGACCTGAGTTCAAATCCTGCCTCAAGCAGTTACCTGCTGTGTGACCTTGTATAAGGTTTGCCTCAGTTTCCTCAGCTGTAAAATGAGGATAACCTCATAGGATTGTTGTGAGGTTTAAAAGAGGTAGTATTTGTAAACTGCTTAACACAGTGCCTGGCACATTTTAGGTGCTATATTAATTTTAGCTATTAGTAGTAGTAGTAGTAAACCCATTACATTTGCTTTTTTAAAAATTTTAATTTCTTATTCTGAACTTTAAAAGATCAGATAAAATGAGTATTAATAAATATAAAATAGAACCAAAAAAAGAGTACATAATAACCTGTTTCAGGTTGCTTAACATCTCAGAGAAGGAGGAAGGATAGAGGGAGAGGAAGGGATAGAATTTGGAATTCAAAACTTAAAAAGAAAAGGAATGTTAAAAATTGTTTTTACATGTAATTGGGGAAAAATAAAACATTAAAAATGAAAAAGAGGACATACATGAAACCTCAAATCTCTGTTATCTATAGTTTGCTTTTCCTTTTCAATATATAAGAAAAACATGTAACTTTCAAAGCCACTGTGCTGGTTGATGTTTCCTTCTGTCTTCTAGGTATTTAAAAAAAAAACTGCAATGGTGCACTTTTCTTTTCTTTTTTCTTTTCTTTTCTCTTCTTTTCCTTTCCTTTCCTTTTCTTTCTTTCTTCCTTCCTTCCTTCCTTCCCTTCCTTCCTTCCTTCCTTCCTTCCTTCCTTTCTTTCTTCTTTCTTTCTTTCTTTCTTTCTTTCTTTCTTTCTTTCTTTCTTTCTTTCTTGACAACCCTTTGGCTAGCCACATTCTCCTCTTAACTCTCCTCATTCCTACCCCAAATGAAAAAAAAAAAGAAAAAGAAATAAATGAACAAATATGCATAGCCAAGTAAAACAAATTTTCTCCTTGGTCATATTAGTTACTCTCCACTTGTAGTCCATCACCTCTGTCAGGAGATGGGCAGTTTTCTTCCTCATTGGGTCCTCCTCTAGAATCCTATATAATTCTCACATTGATCAGAGTTCTTAAGTCTTTTTTAAAAGATGTTTTTCTTTGGGGAGGGTGGTGGGGAGAAAGGGGGAGAAAAATTTTAAATTCAAAAGCATATGGAAGTGATTATTGATAAATCAAAATAAATTAATATTTTTTTTAAAAAAAGTTGTTTTTCTTCATGTGTTCTTATAATATATTATTGATTTGGGGGAGTTAATCCTGTAACCTGACACTTTGTTGTTAATACTTACATCATTAGCATTTCTTACCATCTCAGTTTTTCTAGATGTGTAATCATGACCTCTGCAAATAGAGATATTTTAACCTCTTTATTAACAAAGTTTATTTCATTAGTTTCTTTTAAGGCCTTATTACTACTGATAGTATTTCTAAAAACTATCATATAAAGGAGTTGTGAGAATGAAGATCTCTGTTCAATATCTGTTTTCAATTAGAAAGGCTCATTTTTGCTATTGTGTATATAATTAGGTCATGTTTTTGAATTTATACTTTAAATCACATTATAGAAAACTCCTATTTTTAATTTTTTTAACTTAAATAGTAGGATATTTATTGAAAGCTTTCTCTATATCTAATAATATGATCATAGCATCTTCACTTTTTTCTCTTGATGTGATTTATTGTACTGATTGTTTCCCTTGTTTTATACCACCTTTGTATTTAATTTATAAATCCTATTATGTACTGCTGTTTGTATTTTATTTATTGTTTTTGTACCACTGTTCTTTGAGGATATTGTTTTATATATTTTTTCTTATCTTTCATTCTGTTTACTTTAGAAATCATATCTATATTTGCCTCATCAAAGCAGCTGGGTATCATATCTCTCTGT